TAAAAACCACAAAAATTATAAAAAATACTTGGAATTTTTTATTGAAACTTTGGAAGATGTTTATTTAGTAAATTATCTATTAGTTTATCACAAAAAATTGGAAGGAAATTCATTGCATGATGGGTTTAACTTATTTAAGTTGATTATGTAGCGAGCTGACAAACACTGTTGAGTGTAGAAAATATGTAGTAATTAATGGCAAAAGATTAAACACACCATAATAATTTATATATAATGATTTATTATAATATTTTACACTTTATACATTGTATGGTAAAATACATGAGTGACTATGAGGTTCAAAATTTTTAATATCTTCATAATCTCTATGTGTAAATTAAGTGTATTGTGAGTAGTCATCAAATGATAAATCCCAAAAATAGTTTTCCGTATAATTGTTAACATGCCACCCATATGTATCCAAGATTGGTTGACGTTGTCTATAAGCAAAATCATTTGAAGATTGGGTCTCAGATTCTTTCCATGAGCCGCTCGATTCCATCCCAAAAGGAAAGGTCAAAGACTCATATTCTCATGTGAAAATCTAATTCTTGCAAAAACAATTCAAAAGAAAACAATATAAATATACATATTTTAGCATATTATCATAAATAAAAAAACATAAGCAATATGGTGGTTAAGGCATTAGAGGAGTGAAATGGTAAGGGTTTGAATCCCCCTTGCGTGTATGCTTTGTTTTACAATATTTTCAGAGAATAAAAATGAGAAAACGAATTTGCATTTTCAGGATTTGAGAATGCTTATAGTAGATTAATTGAAAAACATATTCAAAAAATAAATACAGTAAAAACGTATTTGGTAGTATAATTTAAGAATAAAAGTGTAATTATAATTAAAATGCGTCACATAATTTATGTGAGCTATTTTTAAAGGCATTTTTATTAATGTCTAAAATGCATTATGTAATTAATGTATGAGTTTAAGGAAAAAAAATCATTATTCCTTTTATATATACTAGCCTCTCTGCACGTGCTTCTGTGCCTGAGAGAGTTTTTTTTAAAATTTTTTAATTTATTTTAAAATTAAAAAAGATAATGGGTAGTTGTGTTCCATAAAAATAGGATCCATTATATGATTTTTCTTTTAATTTAATTTTTTTTAATGTGAAAATTGTGAATTTATCATATTATCCTCATTTAATTAATAATTTCAATTCTTAATGTTTGCATTAACCAATGACATTTTCTGGCATGTTGAATGTTTCAACATTCTTTGTGCTTTATATATATAAATAATGATGATATTTTAACTTTAAAAAAAAATCATTTATGAACTAGAAACTCAAGTATATAGCAAAAGTAACTCAGTTTCAAAGGACTCTAGAAACTCAAGTATACACAGAAAAAGTAATATTAATATTATTTATCTATATATATAAAACAAAAGGCAGAGAATTGTAAAACATTCAAAATACCAGAAAATGTCCTTGGTTAATTCAAATATTAAGAATTAAAATTATTAATTAAATGAGGATAATATGGTAAATTCACATTTTTTATTTAAAAAAAATTAAAAATTAAAAACAAAATCAGATAATAAGTCTTACTTTTATAGAACATAACTACCCATGTTATATTTCTTAATTCTAAAAATAAAATAAAAATAAAAAAGAAAACCAATTGGCACATGTGTGAGCGTGTGCCAAAGGGCTAGTATTTATAATAATGAAAGAGAGAAAAAAAAATTGTTGACATCAGCTTTCCATCTCTGGTTCTCTCTCTCTCTCTCTCTCTCTCTCTCTGTGTAGGGAAATTGCTGGGCCGCCGCCATAAAAGGGAAATTGCTGAAATTGCCCCCTGTGTCTGAGTTCCAAAATCAAGCCCCAAAAGCGCTTCGAAAGGGCAGTAGAGCCTTAGGAAGCGTTCTGGTTACCTTCATCAACGAAAAAAAAGGCTGCTTACAGATGATTTCTTGATGCTTATAGATAAACTTTTAAGCTTGGCATGAGAGGTATGTGGCATGGAAGAAAAATTAGCATGAGTTGCGCACCAAAAAGGAAATATGGCTTCTTAGGGAGAAAGAGGAGTGTTTAAGGTGAGGAAGAAGAGGTTTGCAAGCAGATGTGGCTGAGAAGAGGAAAATAAAGAACTATGTTCTTCCGGCAGCTTGTCAGGTGAAGAAAATGGGGAAGGAGGGTGAATAGTGCACGAGGTTGCTGGGCTTTTGCAGGTAAGAGAGGAAGCTTGCTCTCCAAGCGTGGGTTGATTTCGTTGGGTATAAGAGGCCTCATTTTATAAGCGCTGGAAACCATCACTTCCCAAGAAACCTTAATGGCTTCTACCCATTTTGGCCAAGCTTTTCCCTTCCTTTCTCATCTTCTTCCTTGACTTTTCTTATCTTGGTAACATTTCCTCTGCCTATTTGCACAAAATCAGAGATATTTTGGAGCTCAAGGCCTCTTTCCCGAGGCTTTTTCAATGGGAGATTTCCATTCTCAGCCATCTTCTTCCTTTCTTTCCTCATCTTTTCTATGGCCAGGTCTAATGGGGGAAGGAATTGGGGTATGTATGCTAGTTCGAATAGTGCTTCTCTTCCTGGCAGCTTGCAAGTTAATATCCTTTGGTTTTTTGGGTGTTTTGTGCTTGGAAATTGTTCCTTCCCATGTGCTGGAGCCTTCCAGCAGCTCTGCATATGTGGACACTTTGCTCCCTACGTGGCTTCTGTTTCTTTTAGCAACAAAGGCTGATGCTTTTGCTGCTTCTTACCTCCAATTGTGTGGGCCTTTAAAGTAGCAAGTCAACCTTCCAAACAAATGGGCTATCTTCATCTAACATTGGGCTATATGGGTTAATTTTAGTGGATCATTTTGGTTGGGCTTTTTGGTTGGGCTATTTTGGTTGGACTATTTTCCCATTTTGTGCTCACTCATATGTTTGGGCCTAAGAAATGGGCTTGGGTTCCGAGGCTCCCAAGCAACCCGGAACCTCCACTTCTCGATCCATCAATGGGCCTCATGACAATTTAGTACCATCCATACCACAACCCACTCAAGCAAGCCCCGAGCATTCGAGTGGCTTGGGCCCACTTAGGCTTGTAGTGTGGTTGGGTGTGTAATAATGATTTCCTGCTTGGCATGACATGTTACTTGACATGTTTTTTTAATTTTGATGCTTGACGAGATAATTAGCATGAATTTGTAGAACTAACGCATTTTATAACCTTAATCTCGATTCCTAGCATGATGGATTATTTATTTGGCATGGCACACGAAGTGTGATTCGTGCATGGCGGATCTTTGCATGCTCCAAATTGGGGCTTTTCTAAATAATGCGTCACTTTGGGCCATGAATTTATTCGGGCCCAACCGGAGATTTTTTGGGTCTCAACACTCTTTTATCCCCCTTTGAAGTTGCAGATCTCCATCCCCTTTGAAGTCACAAATCTCGATATGGTTGCACTGACTGAAACATGGTGGGTGGTGGTTTAGCTGCCATGGAGCATATATATGAAATTATAAAAGAAAGACTTGATATGATTGTGGGTTTCCTCTTCACGGTGGCAACAACGAGGAATGGGTTCTTGGACTGGGTCTAAATTTGTGAATGGAGGCAAAGAGAGATAGAGGAAGGCTCTGTGTTTCTACCATTTCCCGTGTTTTCACTTTTCCTTAAGAAAATAGAGAAAACAACTTTTTGTTGTTTTCTAACTAAAAGAAGAAAAGTTGAAATCGTTTTCAACATTTGTTTTCTGGGTTTTCTAATTAAAACCATCGAAAGCATATTTTGCCATTTTTATCGTATTGTAAAGGGCTGTGGTCAAGTCAAAACGGCGATTGGCGAGATAATTAACATGGGTTCATAAAGCCGGTGCATTTTATAGGCTTGCTACAACTATCAGCGTGACAGGTTACATATTTGCTTGGTTTGACATGTGGATTGTGACTCGTGCGATCGTGTATAACGAACTTCCGCGTGCCCAAATCAAGTTTTTTCTCGGTAAGGTATCGCATGAAGCCGGTAATATATTTGGGCCTAGCTTGGAGCCTCAACACCCTCTTGACCAAGGTTTGGTGTTCCAATTTACCTCATGCCGTCATCTCCATTCATAACTCCGTCAACTTTGATGATGTGGCAGGGTTAGTTTAGTACTTTTATACACATGGGTCATTGACCCACATCCAACTTGGACAAAAAAATTAATTAAAAATCATTTAAATGTTTAAAAACTTTAAAAACAATTATACAACAACAAAAAAAAAAAAAAAAAATAAGATTGAAAAAAAAAAAAAAAAAAAAAAAAAAAAAAAAAAAAATCCCAACCCAATTGGGCCTAGATATTAATTATGGGATTAGAAATTTAGCATTAGACTTAGATAATTAAAAAAAACTAAAAAAAATATGCACCCTAGTCTAGTTCAGTTTTGTAAGGTGTGAAACCAGCACGAAATCAGTTTGAACTAATCTGATCTGATTCGGTGCCAATTTCTTGACTTTTTAAGTCATCAAGGTTTTTGTTTTTTGTTTTTTGTTTTTGTTTTGTTTTTTTTTCTGGTCTAGGTGTTTGGGTTTTCCGGTCTTAATGCCCACCCCTAAATAACACGGCCAAACCACATTTTTTTTAGGCTTAATTGCTACAGTGCACCTTAAAACATTGGTCAATTCTCACTTTAACTTCTTAAAGTTAAAGTGACCTACTTTGCCCCATTGACCAAGGTTTGATGTTCCACAGTGCCTTATACCGTCAATTCCATCCAAAAGTCCATTAAGTTTGATGACGTGGCAGGGGTGTTTTAGTAATTTTGTGCACCTATGTTTTGTATTCACAAATTTGAGTAGGTAATGTGGCAAAGTGGAGCCCACCTCTAGCATGGATGAAAAAAATTCATAAAAAATTAATAACTTAAAAAAAATTAAAATACAAATTAAAAATTTAAAACTTAAAGAAATTGAACTCTCTCTCTCTCTCTCTCTCTCTCTCTGTGCAGGGTGGGTTGCGATGGGGAAAATGGACTAGAGGGGCACGGGTCGGGGAGAAGGGGAATGGGTATGGGGGCTGGGGTAGAAAAAAACCAGAGGGAGGGGGCGATGGGTCTCGATGGGGAAGGGGGGGAGCATAGAAGAAATCGGTTGCATTGGAGCACCATGTATGAGATAAGGGTAGGAACAAAATACAAATTGGGTATGTTTCAGACCTTCGAAAACTCAAGTTGGTGTTTATTAGGTATATTGAACTGCAAAATCGCCAAGATCTTTTTGCAATTTGATGCAAACTAGATTGTCTTAGAGTCTCTTCAGTTGCTCGGTTTGACATCAACAAAGCTACAAAGCTAGACTCCGTTGAGGGTGAGTAGTCCTACTAGTGATTGGGATTGTCCGCCTCCCCTTCCCCATTCCCCATCAAGGTTTCCCTGATGGGTTAGACACTCTGCTCTCCCTTAACAAGTTGACTACAGAGTATTGCCTTTAATCTTGTATTAAAGTATTAAAAGAAAATCTTATATGAAAAATATCTGGGAAACCTTGGAGAACATTACTTACTAACCATAGAGGCAATCTAAACATATTCATAAAACCATGGAACAACATTCTATAGATTGTTAATTGTGAAGGGCTTACTCCAGTACAAACCTTTCATGATTGACCATGTTTTATATTTGGTGCGACTGGGGGCCCAGGGGGAGGAATAGGTTTCTGGGATCTGCGCAGGGAGGGGTGGGTTGCAGGTGGGGGGGGCGATAGCTTTCCGGGTTCTGCACAGGGAGAGGGGTTGGTTGTGGGTTGTGGGTTGCGGGTTGGGGGGTGGGGGGAGGGGGGGAGCGATGGGTTTCTGGTGGGTGGGGGGGTTACAGGGATAGAGACGGAAGAGGTGGATTTGGTGCTACTGGGGGAGAAGGGATGGGTATGGTTATTTATTTATTTATTTAATTTTTTTTATTTTTATAAAGTAATTAAAAAACCTAAGTGCACAAAATTACTAAAACACCCTTGCTACGTCATTAAACTTAACGGACTTTTGGATGGAGTTAACGGTAGGGGCAATGTGAAACATTAAACCTTGGTCAAGGGGGCAAAGTGAATCACTTTAACTTTAAGAGCACTTCCACCAATTTGCCATGGCAAAGAGCAAAGGCAAGGCAAGGGTTGTTACTATTTATGTGAATAGTAGCAGCCATTGCAAAAGGTTGTGGTGTTTCCATCCATAGCCATGACAATCACTATTCACATGAGATATAAGGAGAGGAATTTGTATAGAGTTTTGGTGTGGGCAGTGAAGAATATAACTAAGTATTTATTTAAAAAAAATTATGAAATTATTAGTATTTTTTTTAGATTTTTAAAATTTTTTGGTTGATAACGTCATCACTAAGAGCATTTCCACCAATTAGCCCCTTGCCACCCTAGGGTAGCTACTATTCACGTGAATAGTGGCTGCCTTAGCTCCCCTCAGCAAAGTGTGTTTCTAGCAGTTTAGGCTTGCCATGGCAAATACTATTCATTTTTTTTTGTTTTTTTTACAACTTTGTTTACTTAAACAATTAATTTGGATAATATTTTCGGATAAGATTTTTGGGTTCTTACATGTCAATACTATTCATATTGGATAAGATTTTCGGTTTCAAATTTTAGATAAATTTCAAATTTCAGATACATTTCAAAATTCAAATAAATACAACTCATAAAATAAAATATATGAATTACCACTAATTTTTTAAACAAAACAAAAAATACAATGAAATGAAAGGCAAGCAAACTAACTTAATGGTACAATGAAATGAAAGGCAAGCAAACTAACTTAATGGTTTTGATCATTTAACCAATCCGTGTGTTGGCTGTTGCGAATCTCACGGCATGGTGCTCCGGGCCGAGGGGATGTGCGTCAACACGTGACGTTCTTCTTTTGGATGCGGTGTGGTTGTGCGTGGGCGTGCCAGCACGGTCTACCGTGCGTCGAGATGATGATGAGGTTCGGATAGAAGATGGTTTAAATGTTGTGCCTGTTTTGCGTTCGACTTCTAATCAAACGATTGTGGCCGAGAGAGGAACTGATCTCGGCCGTCAGGTTCATGGCCTGAGCTACAAGGCCGTTTAGTGGTGGCGTTGATGGTGAGTTTTAGGCGGTGCTCCAGCGCGTTGCTCAGAGAGCGACGGTCGTATGATATATGGGGTGAATGAGACGATAACAGAGATGGTGCTCCGACGCCTTGAAAATCAAGGGTTGTATGTATATTGATGAATGAATTTTCCTTACAATCTACCACTACTCCTAGGAAAACAAATAAAGGTATTGAAAGTGCATTACAGGAAAATATAATTTGCTCCGTGGGAGGCTTTTGGTTTGGTGTTTGAACCCTTTGAATGTAGTCTTGAGCTTAGTATTTATAGGAGGAGTCCTAGAGGGACAATCGAGACTGACAAGACCTGCGTGGTAGAGCCTGACCGGGGCAAGTGGGTAGTCAAATCGGCATTTGGGATCGTGAAGCATGGTGGTTTGGGGTTGAGAAGCATGGTGGTGTGACCCCCATAAATCTCGGTAAATCTCGGCCACCGCCCTGATCGTGGGTTCTGCCCCCTTAGCTGTGGGAATGCATTTAATGCCTTGGTCTGGTGGTTGGTGATCTGACCTCAAGTCGTAAGATTACTTGTGAGAATGTCTGCGCCTAACCACCCTGATTTCCATCACCAAATCCTGACTTCAGTCACTTCCCTTGTGCATTAAATGCTTCTTTTGCTGCGAAAGTCAGAGGCATTACTTCATTAAATGGGGCATGGGACCCTGAGGCCACATGACGATTTAACCACAGCTTTTTCGGCCGTGTCTTTTACGGCCTTCGGCTTCGGCCTTCAACACTGCGGTCGCGAGGCCAAGAGGATTCTGCCTTTGCAGTTTTTCTTTTGTTCTCAGGAAGGCGAAATGCTTGACGAAACGGTAGGCGCCAGGGCCGAAGGAAAGTCCCTTCAATTAGTTTATGACCGTGATTTATTAGGCACAAACACCGTGTTGCTAGGTCCATCGTCACGAAAAAGTCTTCGTCTCATAACATCCCTTTGTTCTAGCTTCCAAAATTATTTTATTTCAAGGGACATATGGCTTGTATCCATGGCCATGGTTTCCCGATCCTTTTTTTCAGTCTTTTCTTGGCGTACATACTCCCTTTCTTTTGCATATTCTAGTTGAATTGCCCTATCGTGCTCTTATTGTTTCATGTCCATTTCAATTCTCATAGCTTGCATATTTGAAATTTTCTCCAAATATTTAGATGCATTCTTGGTAGAATTACTCCCTCTCTTCGCCTTCGCCGCCTTCCTCCCAATAGGCCACGGCTCCTTTTCGATAGGTGAGTCTTGACTCATCGGGGAATCCATAGGTGAATTCAATGTCGGAGTCTCATAGAGTGGCGTCTCGTTCAAGACTACCGTTGGACCCGTTGGAATAATTTGGAATCTCTTACAATTCTTCACCACCTCCCAACATAGGGTATGGTTGAAACTTTTTTTGCCTTGCCTAGTAGCACCAAACCACATTTGTGATTGCATAATCTATTAAAAAAAAAGGAAATGCAAGAAACTTTAAAAAATATTGGCAATACAACAAGTATATATATAAAAAAAGGAAATGCAAGAAACTTTAACAATTTATTAGAAATGCAAAACAAAATATAAATATTGCAAGAAACATTCATATTAATATTGGAAATACAAGAAATATTAACAAAATATATAAATTGCAAGAAACATTTAAATAAAAATTAATAAGACATAGAAATTAATAAAACAAAATTACAAATAATTTACCTCACTGCTAAGGTTTTCCCCTCTTCTATGGTTGTCCATCGCTTTTGCCAAGGCATCTCTCCATTTCGCCAACTCTTTATTAAGAATTTTCCACCTACTAGATAATGCCTGATCCGTACGGGTCGAACCAATTACCCTTTCACAAAAATCCTGATGAATTTTTGCCACATATGATAGAATTTCATCTCATTGCCCGTTACGGGACAATGACTAATTTGGTGCCAAGACTCACACAAGCTAACATCTTCCATCATGCTCCAGGCTCCTCTGGTTTCACTAGAAGAACGGATAATATGATAGAGGAAAAAAAACTTGAAAGTGAAAAAATATTAAGTAGAAAGTGAATAATAGTAGTAGGAGAAGAAAATGTATGAGGAGTTGGTGTTAAAAGTGAAGAGTATTGGTTGGTATTTATAGAAAAAATTTTCAGTATTTTTTTAAATTTTTTTCGATTTTTTTTATTGGGAAAAAATTGGTTGCCGTTGGATTGCTGGAAAAAAGGGGATCGGAGAGCCCAGAGTCAGCCACATGGAAGAGAGCCGTTGGGGGGCACTGTAGCGGGCGCGTCAAATTACGCGCAAACGTTAAAAAAATTTAAACTCCAACGTTGACGTCAGCCAAAACGAGGGCTGGAGCTCGGGCCAGCCTCCCCCTCGGGCCAGCCCAGTTCGCTGGGCCCCACTCCTTGCCCTGGCAGAATTTTGTTGCTGGAAACACCATTTTGGGTTTGCCCCACCTAGCCTTTCCCTTGGGCCCCTTACTGGAAATGCTCTAACTTCGGCAAACCCAAGCTAGAGGTCAGGCTGGTTTGGCCTGCGGGCTGGCCCAGTTACGTGCGTCCCATCGCTTGCCCTGGCAAGCAAGGCCTGTTGGAAGCACTTCCCAGGATTTGGGCCCTGTCCTGCCCAGGCTGCAGTTCATTGCTGGAAGTGCTCTTAAGTGAGAATTGACCGATGTTTTATAGTGCATTGTAGCGATTAAGCCTTTTTCTTTATTTTAACAAACGACCTTGAGTGTGGGGTGTGGCCATTAAACACTTGCAATTTGCATAGCGTGGTTGAACAGCAGAGCAGAGCGGCAGGCCGGGAGCAGACGATGAAATTGTTTGACGCACACTGTCACTTGCAAGACCCAAGAATCTTTGACAAGGCACCCCAATTGATTGCAGCAGCCGTTGATTCTGGCGTTGTTCGTTTTGCTGTTAATGGAGTCTCTGAGGTACCGCTTTCCATATCATACATTTTCTCTCTCCTTATTGTAATGCCTATGGCTGCTCAACATCGTCATTTTAATAATTCCATTCAGAAAGATTGGCATTTGGTCAAGCAGATTAGTGAGTCCTATCCTTGCGTAATTCCCTGCTTCGGTCTCCATCCCTGGTAAATCTCTCTCTGGGTCGAGATTGAAGTTTTCGATTGTATTTTCTCCAACCCTTTCTTCTCTTGTATTGTATGTCAGTAGGTATGTTGCAGAGAGGACACTCAATTGGCTCAACACTTTAAAACAATTCTTCGAGGCTACTCCCTCTGCTGCAGTTGGAGAGGTTGGTAGCTGCTGTCCATTGGCTTAAATAAACTTTTTTTACTTTATGTTTATATCTTCTGTTTTCCTGTATGCAAATGTACGATTCGGTTTTTAATCAATGACTTCAAGTGAGGAGCTCTGTGTTGATAATTCCTTAGACCATCTCCAATCATTTCCCTCCATATTTTCCCTTCGAAATCTAACTTGATATGATTTGAGGAACCCCAAACATAACTTGATGGGTGAAAAGTTCAGGGAATTCTCAAAATTGGGAAAGGCTTAGGAATGGGTGGGAGCACGATTACATGTCATTTTCCCTGATTAGGAAGGATTGGAGTAGCTCTAAGGTCAGTTTCCTCCCCTCCTAAATGAAATAATTAATTTCCATCAAATGCCCTTGCTCTCATTATATGAGTTCTTCCTACCCAAACTAAGACAAACGTTTTGTCTGTTACTTGGCTCTTGGGGTTGAACTTCTGCTTTACCCATTTGAGGGGCTTTCCTTGCTATCTTTAAGAACATTTATGAGCAAAGCTTTGGATGTGTCATCCTTATATCACCACTGCTATCTCTTTCTCTGATTTCTGGTTCTTTATGAGTCAGCCACATCAATTGTTTAGCTCACATGAAGTTCCTACTGGAATAATCCTATTCTTTGCAAGTATGAAATTTATAGGTTCCAAAGCCTCTATACACATGATTAAAGGCACCTCTAAATTCTAAGTTCTAATACAGTCATGTGAACCTTTCAGATTGGCTTGGACAAAGGTTCACAAGGGAAGAAGGTTGATTTCACAGATCAGGTTCTTATCATTCCAACTCATTCTTCCTAAATATTCATATAAGTTAGTCATCTCTCGCTGTTATCATCTATTGCTTCCTCTTGTTGTTATTGGTGGGGAGCCCAGATTTGTGATTGAAAGTTTTCATGATAATAAAAAACTTCATTTTAAGACAACCTTGTGCTTTATTTTATCTAAAGGACATTATTTCTCAAATTATATCTCATAAGAGTCTTACTGGAAGCTTATTCCATGCATGCATCTGGAGAAAAGAGCACTAAAGTCTTAAAGAGATGAACAAAGAGAGAACTTAGTGGATGCGAGAGAGAGAGAGAGAGAGAGAGAGAGAGAGAGAGAGAGAGAGAGAGAGAGAGAGAGAGAGAGAGAGAGAGAGATGCAGTACGTGTAGGACCTAAATTTATTAGTTTCCTAATGTATTTGTTAGTTCCCTAGATTCTCTAGTTCTCTAAATTCTAGTAGGATTTCAACTTTTCCAGATTTACAGATTTCTAATTTTAAGTTTCCTTTTTTATTTGGGTTAGGATTTCTGTTTAAGCAAGGGATTTTTATCCTATTATATCTAGGTTTTAGTTTGCTATAAATACCCCCATGTAGTTCTTTAAAATGCAGATTTGGATATTGAGTAAAACTTCTCTTAAAACTATGTGATTTCTGTCCTTCCTTCTCGGTTCTCTGATTTCGGTCCTTCCTTTCGTCCCTTCGATCTATATTTTTGTCTCCTTGACCTCTGATATTCTTCTTGTTCTACTGTTCTGCCCTTTCTTTCATCGTTTCGATCTATATTTTCGTCTCCTCGATCTCTTATATTCTTCTATGTTCTGTTGTTTGAGTGCTTAATCTAATACCTATGGGCTGTACTACATCAGAGAGAGAGAGAGAGAGAGAGAGAGAGAGAGAGAGAGAGAGAGATTTCATGATGCAGGGCAGTGGCTGTCCAGCAACCAAACAACCCAAAGTACAGAGAGAATAGAAGGATAAAGCTGTAGAATTGAAGTTGGAACGAAGAATTTTGAGTTCTAGGGCTAAATTCCAAAACTCTTTAGACTAAAGTCCGAAATTATATTTTTTTTTGAGAAGAAACGAAATTTATTAAACAAAGGAACACGGAAGTGGAAAAGGCAACCACAACCGAAGAACAAAAACAACACAGAAAGAAAGAAACAAACAACACCAACCCCTCCCAAACTAACAGGGAGGAGCAAAACCGAAAAGCCACTGAACAACCCACCCGCCAACCCTCAGATAACCGCAGCTGCCATATCCCTCATAATAGTGGAATAAGAGTAGTCTTTAAAAACTTTTGTAACAGAAGCCCACAAAGCTGCCCAGTACTTAACTCTATCCCACAGATCACTCATTCCCACTCCCTTATAGTCTTCAAAAATTCTCCTATTACGCTCCATCGAAATGTTCCAGAACACAGAGTGGACCAAACAGCCCCATAAGGTTGAAGCGCGCTTCCCCGATCCCCAAACCATAAAGTCAGAACAAAGGAAATCAAAGCACCCTTTCGGAATCACCCAAACAGTCCCAACCTCCCTCCACAAGAGCCCCCAAAGACTTGAGGAAAAAGGGCAATGTAAGAAAAGGTGGTCCACACTCTCCTCACAATGCTTACATAACACACACCAGCGTCTCTTAATAGCCTATTTATATTAGAATACACCAGCGTAGAATTCCTATTCCTAGTTTACTAAGAAAACCTAATTGATAAATGAAATTAAAAACAAAACAAGAAACTAAACCAAATCCTAAAGAAGATAGGAAAACAATTAATTTAATAATTTAATATAACTTAGCCCTTTTTGACTAGGATTGATGAGAATTTCTGCACAGGAAATCTATTAAATTCCAGTTATGTCCTTGCACAAAAAGATGCTTGTAACTCTAAAATGAATAACTCAATCTAAAAGTTATTTTAGCCCTAGACTCCGAACCCAAGAGAAAATATCAGCTAGCACCATTCTTTGTTTGCATCATACATGTGCAGCCATACATAATCACATGCATGAAAGGCAAACATGTCTTCGTGCACACAACCGACGTATGTTCTCATGCAGAAATTTTGCCACAACCTTTTATTGGCTCGTTGGTTCTGGTATTCTTCAATATTCTTTGCCCAGTTGAATAAACTTGGGGCATTTTTCTGCACAGTTCTTTCTTGGAACAAGGACACTACGTTTTAGACTCAATGGTTGGGAATGTTTATGGTAATTTCAATGGGTACGGAATGAAATAAAAGGACTTCTTCGGCCCCTGCACCTAGTGGTGCTTTCGGCTTGAAAAACAACGTGAGTGGGGGGCCAGACGGCTTTGATTGCCCCAGCTTGGCGAATCGCATCCCCACGCAACGACATTGTTTGTGTGCCCCTTACCGTTCTCGCTCAGTGTTTGCAACGGCTGGGGAGGCAGTCGTAGAAGCGAAGCCTAACCAACCTCACAGATCCCAAAAAATCTTTTACACCAATGTATCGTACTCTCTTGACCAGGTCATCATAAAAAAAATACTGCAAAATCTTTCCGAAATGAGAGAGGGAGTGACACTTGCTTAGTGTGAAACACTGAGGGAGGGAAGGCGCGCTACAACCAACATAACAGCCAGCGACAAATCTAGATTGAGCCTCTGTTCCTTTTTGGTGTCTCAAAATGGCGTAGATCATCTGACAAAGAAGTGTCATCTGAGGCTGGATGAGATGCCAAGAAATCAGCCAACGCTGGTCCTTAGCAAAAGTATTAAGAATTTATTTTGCCAGTGCAAGAAGAAATGACTTTACAGGAGCAAATGATTACTATGATCTATGGGCATACGATGAGTTCGGGTGGAAACCACTCGTTGTGCGGCTCTAGGCATCCTGAGCTGACAGCACTTCGAAAGGCCTCGCTTAATTAATAGGCTGATCATCAAAGCGTACTTACTTATGTTAAAGTTCTTGTTATTAGTTGGATAGGTATGGCTTATTATGAGAGGATAACTTTATGCATTTGTCATGAGCCGAAGAGTATGTACATGTGATCTCAATTTGTATCCTTCTTGTTAAAGTTGGAAGAGGTCTTATTAGGCAGAATGAATGTATGTTGGGGACTGTAACTAACTCTTTTGACAACAAAATAAAGAAGAGGATGGAAGGCAATTTTATTTTACTTTTTCCTTTTATCTTTCAGTCAAGCAAGTCTCCATGTTGTTATTTCTGTAAAAAATTGAATTGCCATGATATGTAGCTGCTTGCACATGCTCCTGGTATCTTAATGGGCTGATTAGAATTGTTTTTTTTATATCCCATTGATCATCAATTGATTCCATAATCCTGTTAATGTGTAAGGTTTCTGCTGCAGGTTAATGTATTCAGGCAACAACTTGGAATTGCAAAAGAGTTAAAAAGGCCAGCATCCATCCATTGTGTTCATGCTTTTGGAGAACTTCTTCAGATAATGAAGTATGCGTGCACACACACACACACACATATGTATATCTAATTTAAGTTTTGCTTTTTATATGTTTGTTAATTGTTTAGTTTGTAAAGATTATGAGTTTTTAGTACATGGGCATGATTATAACAACCAAGAACAGAACAAGCTATTGTCGATGGGAACCAAATTGAAAGTGGGCTTTTCACTGTGGTGCTGCTCGGTTACTATATCGCCTGAGTTTTTCCAATTTCTCATGTTTAAACTTAGAAGTTTGTTTCATGCATCCATCCAGCCAGCACCCCACCTGAAGCGGTTTCTTGCAATTGCAACCACTGGATTTCATGGCAGCTTGTCTCTGTAATCCTTCGTATAGAGCCTTTACTTATCAGAAAAATGTTGTGCTCTGTGTTCTTTGACTTACTGCATAATGATTGCTATTTCAGGGCCCGTAGGTTGATTCTGCAGTTAGATGTTTTCATGCAGAACAACCTTGGAGAAGGCATAATTTGCTTTTCCATGGCGTAGATGCTGCCTTCTTTTATCAAAAGTACTTATCTATCATTGCCTCATATTATATTGTTTTATTTAATGCTTTCTAAAGATGAATAATTATCTCGTCAGATCTTTGGGTCCTTTTCCTGCTGGCGTCATTCTTCATTCTTACCTAGGTTCTGCTGAGATGGTTCCTGAATTTGCCAATCTAGGTGCTTACTTTTCTTTCTCTGGATTTCTTATGTCCATGGAAGTACACAAGGCAAAGAGGATGCTGAAGATGGTTAGTTCCATATTTAGGTTGTTGTGTATGTACACCATTAGACATTATTGGATCCAATTTTGTTTTTAATTTGTTCTTTCTAGGTGCCTTCTGAAAGAATTTTACTGGAGACAGATGCACCTGATGCATTACCCAAGTCTGAGTTAGATTCTGCGCATCTGGTTGAAGGAGCTTCCCTCCCTGAAGAGCTTCAGTCAATAGAAATTTCCTCAGCTCCATTTGATGGTGCAAGAGATGTATCAACATTTCCAAAAGAAGCACTAAATCACCCAGAAAATATTCACAAGGTAGTGTTTTACAGTACACATCTTGGTCATTAGTCGTTTTAAAATATATTAATTGTTGTCATTGTAGTTTCTGCGGCCACTGTTTAAACCCTAATTGATGTAGGATATGGATGAATTATAGATTTAGGTAGTTTAGTGGAAGCGAAAACACTGGAAAACAGAATTAAATGAACAAGGATATGCTGGATATTTTCACCTTTACATTCTCACAGTTCTTGTATCGTTTTTAGTTATGATATATGGTGGATAACTAACATGATAAGTGATGGTGATAATCTAATGAATGTAATTATGTATAGATCCAACTATGTGTAACCCTTCATTTAGTTCATTATATATTGCAGAAGCCACTGAACATGTCATTAATGAATACTAAAGAGATGAATCAAATGTTCGTTCAGATGTAAAATTAGTAATTTCTTTTATTTTGTTAGAAAAAGAAAAGGGCAAGGTTCAGACATGCCTTTGTGATTAATTCTTTTTAAGTGAATCTCTTGGACGAGTGTGTGTCTTTTGATACTTGTACCCTAATGGTTAGGCTGCATAGAAAGGAGTAGTGTCTAAATTGACATTGACACTTCGAGGCCTCAACCGAATTATTTTATTTATTTTTTAATGTTGACCAAATGTAGTTATTGCGGGGTTGAGAGTTCATGTATACATTGTAACATCCTTTATGTCAATGATTGTTCATTAGTTTATAATGTTTGTTTAAGCTTAATGGCTCCAATTCCAGGTACTCATCTATGTAGCATCTTTGGTAGAGATGACCAAAGAAGAACTCGCTGAAGTAACTTACCAAAATGCAGTACGCTTATTCTCTTATGATACCTGTGGCGGGCAATCTTAAACTAAGTAGGAGCCTAAGTATACTGCGTACTCCACTCGAGTTCTTGTTTCAGATATGGAAAGGCCGTATGGATTTTTGTGACGGGCTATAATAACAAAATCATGGTCGGAGATAGTGAGAGAGAAGGTGGTGATGGTGGGAGTATTTGCTCCTTTATTTTACCGGCCATGTGATTGAAGAGGTCCTTTGTTACAAGGGAGTTTCACTAAAACACCCAAAATGGGGGCTGAAATTATAAAAAAACCCAACACCCAAAACACTTTATAAACACACCTAAAACCCATCATTACACACACTCAAAACCCATTTATAAACACACCCAAAAAATATATAATTGTTTATTTTGGGGTTGATTTTGGGTGTGTTTCTATGTTTAAATAGTGCTTGGGTTTTTTTATAAATACATGTTTAGGATTGGGTTTATTTATAAATTTGTATTGTTACAAAATGAGAAATACCTTGTAATTTTATGTAAAAATTTGAGTAGCTGCTGAATCTTTATGTTGGTAACTTTTTGTCAACCTTTTCTACTTTTATTATTATCTACAATATCAAGGGTTTGATGTTCTGTGTGCTGGTGCGTCTGGGTTTTACGTTCTGTGTGTGAGGGAGAGAGAAGAGGAGGGGGGGGAAGGAGAAAATGAGGGTTGGGGTTGGGAAGTGCGGTGAGATGGGTTTGTTTGTTTTTAATTTTTAATTTTGGTTAATTTATGTAGGGGTTTTTTTCTTTCAGAAGCTACTGCGGGCCTGGGCTGCCGTAAAGAACCAAATGAGAGAAAATTGCCCCTGGGTATGAGTTCAAGAATTAGGCCCCGAGAATGCTTCGAAAGGGTAGCTGAGCCTTAGGAAGCATCTTAGTTACCTTCACCAGCAAAACTAACAGTCGCTTACAGATAAATTCTTGACTTGACATGAGAAGCTTATGACATGGGAGTTGAGCATTCATGAGTTTAGCATGAGAGAGAGAGAGCTACAATTTCCAGAAGAGAAGATGAGAGGAGATGGAGGAATATGGCTCGAAATTGCAGGGGTTTCTGGGATGAGAGATGATGATTGCTCTATGGATGTGTGTTTATGGAAAGAGAGGAAGAAGATGGAAGCATGGGTGGCTTTAGCATATTTCCAGCAGCTTGACGAAAGCTTCATCAAGCTCCTGGGTGATTTGACAGAAGAGAAAATAGGAAGCAATGGAAGAACAAGGCTTGAAATCGAAGGGTTCTAGAGATGAGAGATGATGCTTGCTCTCTCTGGATGTGGGTTTTGAGAGAGAGAAATGAGGAAGATGGAAGAACAAAGCATGAAATTGAAGGGTTTCAGAGGGGATGCTTGCCTTCGATGAATTCTTATGGTTGCTGGGAGGCTTGCAGCAACCAAGGTGAGTTGTCTTTGCTGGGTAGAAAGTGGCTCCTTTTATAGGCACTGAAAACCTTAATTTTATCAAGCCACCCTCTCCCCTTTTCCTTCACTTTCTTCCATTCCATCTTATTTGGTGAAACTTCCCTAGCATGAGCATGTAGGCATGAAGCTTTTTGAAGTTCCAAGGTTCTCAGGCAGCTGGACTTCTCCATGTGGGCGATGAGCCATCCACTTTTGTTTCTTGTTTTCTTACCAAAGCTTGAAGAGAAAGAATGGGTAAGGGTGCTAGTCAAAAAAGGTGATAAGCACATGGGTTTGCTTGGTTTTGATGGTTTTGATAGATATGCTGGATATTTTCTACGATGCTGGGCTGGGCAATTGGTATTTTGTTTCCAGTGGCCTGTGAGTTTGCTCAGGCTGCTGGAGACAACCTATTTGATCAAGGTGCTGGATATTTTGGCTAATGTGGGATTTCTCCAATTGTTTGCAAGCCATTGGATTTTTTCCTAAGCTATTGGGACACTCCTCTCTCATGCTTATCCATATGTTTGGGCTCAAGAAATGAGCTCGAGTTTTGGTGCTCCTAGGCAGCCCAAAACTTCAACTTCTTGGCCCATCAATGAGCCTCGTGAATACTTGTAACCATCCATACCACAACCCGCTCAACAAGCCCCAGGCATTCGGGTGGCTTGGGCCCACTTAAGCTTGTAGCATGGCATGTTGCTTAAATAAAGATTTTCAGCTTGGTGTTGTACTAGGCCGAAAATATATTTGGGCCTAGCCTGAGATTTTTTGGGCCTCAACAATTTTAATTTCTATATATTTGTTTCTAAATTTTTAATTAATTTAAAAAATAAGGAAATTTTAATTAATTTTAATTTTTTTAGGGATTGGTTAGTGGTAGGTCTCACAGTAGATGCATCATTATTTAACGTCTGATCAAACAATCAACTTAACGGAAGGTTTTAAATTGGTCATATTTGAAAACATTGGGGGTGTAAATTGATGAATTTGATACCCACACCCATATTGAGAATGATTCTAAACCTTCAGGAGTCAATTGTCATTAGCCCTAAAAACATTGAAGGGCGAAAAGACTAGAAGAAGAGCTTTTCGCACACGAGATTGCCGGTGGCGATGTGAGGGACGCTAAGGAGGTTGGAGAGGCTAGAGGCATAGGTGCCTTTGCCAACGTCTGGGAAGTCAGGGAAGACCCATGGACATTCATGTCCGTCATGTTGCATAAGAAGCGAATTTTTGTTGATGATAGAAGAAGGCGTTGTGACGTCAATTTCAGAATTTAGAAAAGATGAACGAAAGCTTCGGATTGAGAAAGAGCTTGCAACTCTTAATCTCAAAACATGGTTCAAAACCGCAATAAAAGTCCAATTTAAAAATAGAAGGTATCATAATTCTAGAATGCCTGGTAATTTTCTCATTCGGTTATGAGTTTTGAGGTTTGGGGTTGGCTTGGTTATTGGGTTTGTGGGTAGGGAAGGTGGGGTGGTGGCGACTGTGGATGGGTGTGGTTTGGGAGATGTGGGAGAGAAAATGTTGTTTAAAAAATATATATATATATAAACAATTTTTTTTAAAAAAACAAAATTAGTTTTTATATATTTAAATAAATTTAAATGAATTAATTAAACATATTAGTCTATTAGACAAAATACGAGTGAGTGATAACACTGATTGCCACGTCATTATTTAACGAAGAATATGACGGTCAAACTAAGAGAGGGATGAAATTTATAAGAAAATAAATGTTATGGCTGCGAGACGAAAAAAAATTTTGATGCATGGAAGGCTAAAACTTGGTAAACTTCAACATAGTAAAAATGAAAATTACCCCAACAAAAAACTAGGTTTGTTACCTTATAATTGAAATTTGTGTACATTTTTCATATATTGAAAATAGTTACCCAAAAATTTATAGAAAAAATGCGTAGATTATGTATCGACTGCGCCGAGGTTTATCGAATTTTAGCCATTATTACATGAAATTTTTTTCGTCTCACTTTCATACCCCAACTTTCATTTAACCAGAGTTTCATACCTATCATTAGTCTTTTCGATAACAAGTCTGTTAACTATTGATATGGCCCTTTTCGGTAACATAATATTTTACCAATAAGTTATAGAGTGAAAAGCCTATATCTTACGGGTAAGTAATGGAGTGAAAAGCCTATATCCGACACTTCTCAGCGACTCATGAAATGAGCTATCGAACTCAGTCAATACCACATCCTCTACCGGCCGAAGATTGCTATAAAAGCCCAAGTTTTAGCAGATTTTGTTGTAGAGTTTACTCCGACAGCCAAAGAAGAGAAGATGGTCATGAAAAGCAAGGAAAAAGCAGAAGACACCTCCCCCACCAATTCGAACCTACCTAACGACATGTGGCAGTTGCATGTAGACGAAGCATCAAATCACAAAGGAGCAGGAGCAGGAGTCGTTATAATCACCCCAGACGGAACCTTGTTGGAACAAGCTATCACACTAGGCTTTTCTGCTTCAAACAACGAGGCAGAATATGAGGCATTGCTTGCAGGACTGCACTTAGCGAAAGAACTGTCGATCAAGAAATTGGCCATCTACTTAGACTCCCAGTTGATCATGAATCAAGCCTCAGGCAAGTACATGGCAAAGCATCCAAGAATGGTCCAGTACCTCGACAAAGTCCAAGGACTTTTGAAAGAATTCCATACTTTCACCATCCAACAAGTTCCACGGGCAGAGAACACTCATGCAGATGCGTTGGCGAGCCTAGGATCAGCACTGGATACCCAGTTCAGACGCTCCATCCCAGTTGAACACCTTGACCGGCCAATCATCGAAGAAATAGACCCCATCATTGACTACTTAGTGAATGGAAATTTGCCAACGGATAAGTCCGAAGCTAGGAAGGTCCAACAGAAAGCCTCGAGATATTACATGCAAGGCGACAAGCTCATTCGCAGATCATATTCCGGCCCTCATCTCACTTGCATAAAATACCCTCAAACACTTGAGGTCCTCTGCAAAATTCACGACGGCGAGTGTGGCAACCACTCTGGGGGCAGGTCACTCTCCCAGAAAGCTCTAAACGTAGGCTATTTTTGGCCTACCATGCGCCACAACTCCGCTGAATATGTCAAAAAGTGTGGTCGTTGCCAACGATACAAGTCGATCCCTAATCTGCCTGCCGAAGTTTACCATCTCCAAAACAGTTCATGGCCATTCATGCAATGGGCCATCGACTTAGTGGGTCCCTTGCAACCGGCGCCCACCAAGAAAGAAATGATGATTGTCGTCAATGGATTGAGGCTGAAGCTCTATCCTCTACTAAAGAAGCTGATGTGGAGCAATTCATCTAGAGAAATATCATCTGCCGGTTTGGCTGCCCACAATCGCTGGTCACAGTTCATTGGCTCACAGTTCATTGGCAAGCAGATCACCGCCTTCTTTGCGAAATACAAGATCAAGCAATACCTGTCCACTCCGAGCATAAGCAGCCCGCCACCTCTGGAATTGACCTTCATCCATAACACGGTGCAGGTTGGCCACAAACCTCTTCTTGTACACTTCGGAATGAACACTCCTAGCCTATGCCACTGTCAACCCTAGCTCACAGTTTAGACAGATATTTTTGAATCGGTTCAGTTTTTTTCATTTATGTTTTAGCAGTTGTTTTGTGTCCAACCGAATCCTCAATCTCTAATTTGAATTCTCATACTTTTTCAAATTAAATTAGCCACTTGAAGCCTTTTATTAAGCCAACCCAAGCACACGGAATAGAAAAGTATTGGTTAATCAGTTCAGCTTTTTTGATTCTTGTCTTAGCAGATCTTTTGTGTCCATTCGAACACAAAATTTTTAATTTGAATTCTCATACTTTTTCCAATAAAATTGGACACTCCTAGCCAACCCTAGCTCACGGTACATATAGGTACAGTCCAGTTTTTTTTGATTCATTATTGAGCAGATCCTTTGTGTCCATTCAAATCCTCAATCTCGAATTTGAATTCTCATATTTTTTCCAATCAAATTGGACACTCCTAGCTTTTACTCTAGCCAACCCTTACTCACGGCACAGACATGTATTGTTTAATCAGTTTAGTTTTTTTGATTCATGTTTTAGTAGATCTGTTGTGTCCATTCGAATCCTCAATCTATAATTTGAATTCTCGTACTTTTTCCAATCAAATTTGACACTCCTAGCCTTTTCTTTAGCGAACCCTAGCTAAGGGTATAGATAGGTAGTGGTGAATCAGTTCAGTTTTTTTCATTCATGTTTTAGCAGTTGTTCTGTATCCATTCGAATCCTCAATCTCTAATATGAATTCTCATACTTTTTCCAATCAAATTAGTCACTCCTGGTCTTTGCTCTAGCCGAACATAGCTAAGGGTACAGAAAGGTATCGTTGAATCGGTTCATTTTTTTCATATATGTTTTAGCCTATCATTTGTGTCGATTCGAATCGTCAATTTCTCATTTGAATTCTCATACTTTTTCCAATCAAATTGGACACTCATAGCCTTTGAACTAGCCAACCCTAGCAAATTACACAGACAGGTATTATTGAATAATTTCAGTTTTTTTAGTTCTTGTTTTAGCAAATTTTTTCTGTCCATTCGAATCCTCAATCTCTAATTTCAATTCTCATACTTTTTCCAGTGAAAATGGACACTCCTTACCTTTGATCTAGCCAACCCTAGCTCACGGAACAGACAGGAGTTGTTGAATCGGTTCAGTTTTTTTGACTAATGTCACTGTAGATCTTTTGAGTTGATTAGAATCCTCAATTTCTCATTTGAATTCTCAAACTTTTTCCAACTAAATTAGACACTCCTAGCCTTTGATTTAGCCAACCCTAGCTAATTATATAGACAAGTATTATTGAATCGTTTCAGTTTTTTGGTACTTGTTTTACCAAATCTTTTCTATCCGTTCGAATCCTCAATCTCTGATTTGAATTCTCACACTTTTGCTAGTCAAATTAGACACTCCTTGCCTTTGATCTAGCCAACCCTAGCTCACGGAACAGACACGTGTTGTTGAATCGATTCAGTTTTTTGGACTAATGATATTGGAGATCTTTTGTGTCAATTCGAATCGTCAATTTTTCATTTGAATTCTCATACTTTTTCCAAACAAATTGGACATTCCTAGCCTTTGATCAAGCCAACCCAAGCTAATTATACAGACAGGTATCACTGAATCGTTTCAGTTTTTTTGGTTCTTGTTCTAGCAGATCTTTTCTATCCATTCGAATCCTCAATCTCTAATTTGAAATCTCACACTTTTGCTAGTCAAATTAAGCACTCCCTGCCTTTGACCTAGCCAACCCTAGCTCACGGAACAGACAGGAGTTGTTGAATCGGTTTAGTTTTTTGATTCATGTTCTTGCCGATCTTTTGTGTCCATTAGAATCCTCAATCTCTAATTTCAATTCTCATACTTTTTCCAGTGAAAATGGACACTTCTTGCCTTTGATCTAGCCAACCCTAGCTCACGGAACAGACATGTGTTGTTGAATCGGTTCAGTGTTTTTGACTAATGTTTTTGCAGATCTTTTGTGTTGATTTGAATCCTCAATTTCTCATTTGAATTCTCAAACTTTTTCCAATCAAATTGGACACTCCTAGCCTTTGAACTAGCCAACCCTAGCAAATTATACAGACAGGTATCACTGAATCGTTTCAGTTTTTTTGGTTCTTGTTTTATCAGATTTTTTTCTGTCCATTTGAATCCTAAATCTCTAATTTGAATTCCCATACATTTTTAAATGAAATTGGACACCCCTTGCCTTGGATCTAGCCAACCCTAGCTCACGAAACAGACAGGTGTTGTTGAATCGGTTGAATGTTTTTGACTAAAGTTATTGCAGATCTTTTATGTAAATTTGAGTCATCAATTTTTCATTTGAATTCTCATTCTTTTTCCAGTCAAATTGCACGTTCCTAGCCTTTGATCTGGCCAACCCTAGCTAATTATATAGACAGGTATTATTGAATCGTTTCAGTGTTTTTGGTACATGTTTTAGCAGATCTTTTCTATCCCTTCGAATCCTCAATCTCCAATTTGAATTCTCACACTTTTGCTAGTCAAACTAAACACACCTTGCCTTTGATCTGGCCAACCCTAGCTCACGGAACAGACAGGTGTTGTTGAATCGGTTTAGTTTGTTGATTCATGTTCTTGCCGATCTTTTGTGTCCATTAGAATCCTCAATCTCTAATTTCAATTCTCATATTTTTTCCAGTGAAAATGGACACTACTTGCCTTTGATCTAGCCAACCCTAGCTCACGGAACAGACATGTGTTGTTGAATCGGTTCAGTTTTTTTGACTAATGTTTTTGCAGATCTTTTGTGTGGATTTGAATCCCCAATTTCTCATTTGAATTCTCAAACTTTTTTCCAATCAAATTGGACACTCTTAGCCTTTGAACTAGCTAACCCTAGCAAATTATACAGACAGGTATCATTGAATTGTTTCAGTTTTTTTGGTTCTTGTTTTAGCAGATTTTTTTCTGTCCATTCGAATCCTCAATCTCTAATTGGAATTCCCATACTTTTTCCAATGAAATTGGACACTCATTGCCTTTGATCTAGCCAACCCTAGCTCACGGAACAGACATGTGTTGTTGAATCGGTTCAGTTTTTTTGACTAATGTTTTTGCAGATCTTTTGTGTTGATTTGAATCCTCAATTTCTCATTTGGATTCTCAAACTTTTTCCAATCAAATTGGACACTCCTAGCCTTTGAACTAGCCAACCCTAGCAAATTATACAGACAAGTATCACTGAATCGTTTTAGTTTTTTTGGTTCTTGTTTTAAAAGATTTTTTCTGTCCATTCGAATCCTCAATCTCTAATTTGAATTCAACAGATAGGTGTTGTTGAATCGGTTAAATTTTTTTGACTGAAGTTATTGTAGATCTTTTATGTAAATTTGAGTAGTCAAATTTTCATTTGAATTTTCATTCTTTTTCCAATCAAATTGGACATTCCTAGCCTTTGATCTAGCCAACCCTAGCTAATTATACAGACAGGTATTATTGAATCGTTTTAGTTTTTTTGATAAATGTTTTAGCAGATCTTTTCTATCCCTTCAAATCCTCAATATCTAATTTGAATTCTCACACTTTTGCTAGTCAAACTGGACACTACTTGCCTTTGATCTAGCCAATCCTAGCTCACGGAACAGACAGGTGTTGTTGAATCGGTTTAGTTTGTTGATTCATGTTCTTGCCGATCTTTTGTGTCCATTAGAATCCTCAATCTTTAATTTCAATTCTCATACTTTTTCCAATCAAATTGGACATTCCTAGCCTTTGATCTAGCCAACCCTACCCAATTATACAGACAGGTATTATTGAATCGTTTCAGTTTTTTTGGTACTTGTTCTAGCATATCTTTCCTATCCACTCGAATCCTCAATCTCTTGAATTCTCACACTTTTGCTAGACAAATTGAGCAATCCCTGCCTTTGATCTAGCCAACCCTAGCTCACGGAACCGAAAGGTGTTGTTGAATCGGTTTAGTTTTTTGATTCATGTTCTTGCCGATTTTTTGTGTCCATTAGAATCCTCAATCTCTAATTTCAATTCTCATACCTTTTCGAATGAAAATGGACACTCCTTGCCTTTGATCTAGCCAACCCTAGCTTACGGAACAGACATGTCTTGTTGAATCGGTTCAGTTTTTTTGACTAATGTTTTTGCAAATCTTTTGTGTCGATTTGAATCCTCAATTTCTCATTTGAATTTTCAAACTTTTTGCAATCAAATTGGACACTCCTAGCCTTTGAACTAGCCAACCCTAGCAAATTATACTGACAGGTATCACTGAATCGTTTCAGTTTTTTTGGTTCTTGTTTTAGCAGGATTTTTTCTGTCCATTCGAATCCTCAATCTCTAATTGGAATTCCCATAATTTTTCCAATGACATTGGACACCTCTTGCCTTTGATCTAGCCAACCCTAGCTCACGAAACAGACAGGTGTTGTTGAATCGGTTGAATTTTTTTGACTAAAGTTATTACATATCTTTTATGTAAATTTGTGTCGTCAATTTTTCATTTGAATTCTCATTCTTTTTCCAATGAAATTGGACATTTCTAGCCTTTGATCTAGCCAACCCTAGCTAATTATATAGACAGGTATTATTGAATTGTTTCAGTTTTTTTGGAACATGTTTTAGCAGACTTTTTCTATCCCTTCGAATCCTCAATCTCTAATTTGAATTCTCACACTTTTGCTAGTCAAACTGGACACTCCTTCCCTTTGATCTAGCCAACCTTAGCTCACGGAACAAACAGGTGTTGTTGAATCGGTTTAGTTTGTCGATTCATGTTCTTGCCGATCTTTTGTGTCCATTAGAATCCTCAATCTCTAATTTCAATTCTCATACCTTTTCTAATGAAAATGGACACTCTTTGCCTTTGATCTAGCGAACCCTAGCTCACGGAAAAGACATGTGTTGTTGAATCGGTTCAGTTTTTTTGACTAATGTTTTTGCAGATCTTTTGTGTCGATTTGAATCCTCAATTTCTCATTTGAATTCTCAAACTTTTTTCCAATCAAATTGGACACTCCTAGCCTTTGAACTAGCTAACCCTAGC